TGCTTTGCATTGGTAGCTAGAAAGGTGTTGATAACACATCGGTGTTTTGGCTACTGCTGAGCACAGCATCAGCACTGTAACATTCCTTCCCTAATTGGGGGCAAGATCTTGGGAGGGGACCCAAGCAGGCCAGCTGACCCAAACTGACCAAAGGGATATTCCATACCACATGATGTCAGCTCAGATATAAAAGCTAAGGAAAGGAGGAGGAAGGGGGGGACATTTGTTGTTTACGTTTGCCTGCTGAGAAACCACTACGCATGCTGAGACCCTGCTTCCCAGGAAGTAGCCGAACACCGCTTGCTAATGGGAAGTAGAGAACAGACCTTGTTATTTTCCTCTTCACTTGTGCACGTGCAAACTTTCTCATTTGTTTTAATAAACTGCCTTATCTCAACCTACGAGTCTGTCACATTAAAAGGGGCAGAAAAGAAGAATTTTCTGTCCAACCTGTATTAATTTATTTTTTGTCGATCAGTGTGTCCCCCAGGAGATCAAAGCCTTTTAATGTCCAAAACAGTCTGTTAGCGTCTCACTAAGAGGAGACCCTTCGCTTAACAGATTCACTGAGACGGACAGGACATTTGATACCTTTATATAGAGACTGCACTTAATAGCGATAGGGAAACCTCTCAGCAAGTTTCTCCTGTGAGTTATTTCAACGTCAACAAAACTGACCTAAAAACGGACTCACTCTAACAGTTCACAAAATAACATATTTATTAATACAAATTTGTGACAATTTATGGGATTCGTTGTGTCTGGAATAGAGTCTAACTGCAAAAATTACACTTAAACTATGTAGTAATAATAAAGCAAGATCTAAGCACATACTCTAAAGCAAAGCACTAAAAACACTATGAAGAAATATAAGCAAAAAATATAAAGTACAGCAACTTACTAAGAATACTATGAGGAAAAAGTAAGCTCCAGTTTTTTAGAAACAAGTAATTAGCATGCATAAGATACGTCTGACCTTCCAGGCATCCCCAGAAGTGGAAGGAGAAAAGGCAGCCCATCAGCTACCTCCACAGAGTTGATGGAACTTCTTGTCCATTTTTGCTTATGTTCAATCTCTTTTTATACCTTTTTCTTAGGCAGTTTGAGTGGCTATAGTCAATAAACTAATTTTGGGGTGATAGGTTTTCCTGAGTTTCTATCTGGCAGGATGTTTTTGAAAAAAGGCCATGTTATCTCCATATCACTCCTTTCTTTGTTTAATCCTCTTATCAGTTTCTGGGAATGTCTCCCCATGTGCTGGGGTCTTCCAGGAAACCATCAGGAGTTTTTTTTCTCCTTTTGTGTAGCCTTTCTATCACCTTACAGAGTCTTTCCATCTTATTCTCTCACCCCTGTCCGGCTGGGAAGAGGAGTGATAGAGCAGTTTAGTGCGCACCTGGCATCCAGCCAAGGTCAACCCACTACAAATACAAACTCTAAAACATCAGAAAGCAGTTCAATAACTTTAAATTTTCCCAGTACTAGGAATATATATACACACGGACTTGATGATCTAAGAGGCCTTTTTCAACCTTAACAATTCATTAATTTGCACATTTTCATAAATCCAAACGAGAAAATGGAACAAAATGGGAGAATACAAATTAACAGATATTAACAAAACCCTGATTTTTATTTGGATGTAAATCAAAACCATTGTGATAACACTGTTGATGACACTCCTTAAATTTTTTTCCTCCTCAACAGACTAGGTGTCTGTTTCATTTTAAAAAGGCTGAGAAATATCACAGTGCAGGAAAAGAGAACTCTTGAGATTTATAAAAGTATCTCAGAAGAAATCTAATTTGCTAGCCTTTTTTGGCTAGGAAAGCTCTTTGGCTTACAGCTTTCAGAGATAAAAAAAACACAGAAGGAAAACAGATATTCTGGCTGAATCTATCACTGTACTTTGTAAACCTATGATGTAAGTAGGAAAAAACAACAGATTGCAAATTATGCCTCCCAATTTCTTTTTTTCCTCTCTATTACTAGTGCTATGCTGATAAAATCTATTTGGGTAGTGCAAACAAGTCTTAATTGTTTAATAAAGAAATTAATTTGTCATTGCATGAATTTTTCCCTGACTCATCATCGGTAGATATTCAACAAGTAACAAGAACGTTAAATACACATAAAAATTGTTGTAGGAATATTTAAAGTTGATTCCAACTCTCAGAAAGTTGCTAGGTACAATAATTTTAAGTACTATTAAATCACTTCTGAGTAGTGAAATAGGTCTAAAAATAGAAGCAGCAAATGAATCCATCACATTCAATAGCTCTATAAGATTAACAATTCATATAGAATTCTATAATAGGGAAAGAAGTTGATGGGTTGTATCCAACAGACTTGTATTTCTATCAATGCCTCTACAGGAACCCACGTGAAACCACATTGCTCACAGACAGGACATACTTAAAAACTAGGCAGACAAGTCAAAGCCTGAAAACACTTCAAAACAGAACAGCTCTCATTTTACTAAATTGTTCCTCTAAAGTGAGCACTGAGGGGAAAATTCTTGCTGTGTACATTTCTCTTCTGTGTATTATGACTAGTGTCCGGCACTTTGAGATTTAACACACAGCACTGCTGAATAAAAAAGGCAAACACTGTTTATAAGTAAACCACTAGCATTCTCAAAACATAGGGTATTAAAATGATTACCTGTTTGTAAATTGATTACTTAGTCTTAGCTTTGTCTTCCTAAGCACACAATGTAATATTTAAAAACAAAGCTAGCTCTGTACTTTTTAAAATCTTGTTTTTCCATTCTTCTTAGCTTAACAAGAGTCAGAAGTTACATAGTTAAAATAGCCCATTAAAATGGGCAGGTAAAACAGAAATAAGATGCAAATTCACTCTTCACCACACAGCGCAAAAATCATAGTCACAGCTTCATATTTAATGTATACTTTAAGTATACAATAGTTCAAAAGATCCAAAAACTGGTTAAAAGCCAGTAGAACAAAAATACAGGAAACCCAAAATACATCTTTGACCTTTTTAATCCTAAATTTTAGGGTCAATCACATGCCTGAAAAAACATGTTTGCTTTATGAAGAAAGAAACTTTGGTATGGAGTTGAACTAACCACATGAACAGCACCCGTAGCTTTCAAAATAAGCAGTAATGACTAATTAGACACCATGGCAGCAAGATATCCCTCTTAAAAAAACCAACCAAACAAACAAAAAATCCCAAACAACCAGAAACCACCAACTAAGAACAAGTACATTCTTGGAGCCACACATCAAGGCTGGACAACAGAAACTAGTAATATTAAAGCACATGTTAATTAACGTATTTTTGAGGCTGAAATTGGTAAGAAATCTTTCCTACAGTGAGAAAGCCTTCCTTTTATTTGCTAACCACTCCTTTTAAAATTGCACTCTTCTGATGCTTGAAGAACACTGTACGAAAATCTTTCCTTAAGATTCCCTCTATTTTTCTAAAATACCGTATTTCTATTTCACAGGCCTATGCTGTTAGCGGTAAGCATTTAAAAAAAAATATCCCCCTACTCCAAGAGCTATTAATTAAAAAGGTCAAAGATAAATTTGACCTCAAAATAGAACAAAAGGTTTTTAATTGTGCCAGAAATAACAAATGATCTTTATAACGTGATACACTCCTACAGCCATCAATAGTTACCAGAATGTTAGTCTATGTTAATCTGTGAGTTTTATGGGTTTGCAACAAAGCATAATACACATTGAACAGAATGAGTGAAACTTCGGTTTCAAGAGTATAATGAATCTTAGTAATTTAATACATTTTAGTTTTTATTTGCATATTCAACTGTAGTGCAGTGACAACAAATCACACCTGTGTACCAGAGCATACATCAACAGTATGATGTAACTTTACTATACCACTGCTATATTTAGCTTTTTGAAAGAGACGTAAGCATATACTATGGCCACATCAAACTATTTTCTGGGTTGTTTCTTTCCTTTGATAACATTCGCTTTTTCAGTAATACATCACTTTTTAAAATCTGAATTATTGAAAAAAACACAGAAAGTTTATACAGAAACAGCTATAAGGAATAGCCTTACAGGCACTGATATGGCAAGCATTTATTTTAAGGGCTGAGAGGCATTAATATAATATCAACAAAGTGGAATGAAAAGAATAACTAACTTTGTGTAAATGGGAAAAGCCTGCTTCTGTTTGTATGTTGAAAAAAGAAATTCAGAAAGTTATATTTTGACCTTGCTATGTCACAAAGTCAATCATACAAAACCTATGCATTAAACCTAAAACGATAGTTTTAAATGCCCTTATATTAAAAACCCCAAAACCATCATGCAAAATTATGATCATTATGCAGTTGATTTAAAACTGTTGCAAGACCGTACTGCATATATTAGCTTTTATACTGCTAATACACAACTAACAGCAAATTTGATTAGATTAACAAAAATTTGTCTTAATTATACCATTATATCACACTAAAGAGACAAACGCCACAAGACTGGCAAAACCATTTAATTCTGAGCACTCAAATGGCAGGATAATTATGTGTTGTAATCCCTTCACATTTAGGAAAACAAAAGCAAAAACATCATCCTGCCATCTCACTTTACAAAATGAAGTTCTGTAAAATATTAATTGGGAGGGGAACAGTTTATATTAACACAATGTAACTTATACAACTAGTGTCAAAGGCAATCAAAAAAACCTTCTAAATAAACAAAAATCAAAATACACATAGCAACAGAAGCACAAATGCTGCATTAAATACAGTCAAGATAAGACAATACACAAGAGAGAGAGATGGAGACTAAAGTCAGCAATACATTTAAAGAAAATGCAATGAGGGAAAAACACTATTTTTTCCGATGACAGTTTCCATTTGCAGTCTTTCCATCCGTAATCTTCTGATACAGTACATCATTAAAATATTCAGACTCTCACAGAAGAGGTACATTTTTCTCTTCCAAATCTAATTATTGAGTTGGTTTTGGATGTTTAAAACAGACATTATTATGTCCATTTAAAAGCAAGGCAACAAATGGACTTTTTATCACCTTCAATCTTAGCACTAATGACATTTTTAAAAGTTATCATAATCTTTTTTGTCTTTTTTTCCCTCTGCTTCAAATCCATCAACCCCATCACTGTCCCTTCTCCTTTTACGATTATTATGGATGTTGAAGCGTTGATTCATCTGTGGTAATGGATCCATTCCTAAAACTTTGTGTATTTGACGGAATGCAAGGAGTCTCAGTGCAAACTAGAAAAAGGGTATAAAGAAGATATTTCTGTTAGAAACAAATGTCAATTTCAAATACTTTATCAAACAATTAATGAAGAACATTAGTGGTATATGATATTATCCTTAGCTCTTATTATCCTTTCTTCCTTCCCCCAACAAAGTCAACACAATAAAATGTGTATGTCACATTTGCTGCTTTTATACAAAATACAACATATTAGCTTAAAAATAGTAGCTGCTAGACTTGCACTGAAGCAGTCAAGGCTTGTCGTCTCCGATTATGCATTAGTAATCTTTAGCTAAAGGATCAAATGAAGAGGTAGGGGCAGTAAACTCTTAAGTTACAAGCATGAATGGCCAATACTGTAAGTGGATACAATAAATATTAAAAATTAAGCTTACACAGATTTATTTATAAAATATTAAATGCCAATGCAATTTTAAATCTAATAACATACTATTGTAGAGTAAGAATCTTTACATATATATAGAAAGATGGGAGTGCTTCAAACTTTTCAGGAAAATATGTTAATTTTAGTAAAAAAATGAACGCTATTATACATTCTGTGTTGTGACATTTTCATTGCCTAGCTTAAGACTGATCATTTGAATGACCTGACTATATTCTAAGAAAGGAAAATTCAAGTTCACCATATAGCTCCATTAAAAAAACAAAAAAAACACCCCAAAATCAACCAACCACCCACCAAAAAAACTAGCCATCAAATTTAGTTACTTCCTTACCTGTGCACTTGAAGTAATATCCTCACGTTGTTGATCTGTCATTACAGCAAGTGTATCAAAAGGATCTTTCTCACAAGGGTCCAGAAGGCCAGGACCACCTAAAACGGGCTAATTAGTAGCACATCTCTACCTTATTTCAATCAAGATTACAGGTTTTACATTACTTAAACATAAGTATACAGACACTGATCAAATGCAACTTGCCTTTAAGGATGATTCCTGAAGATATACATTCAAAAACTCTTCTTAATGCATCCCCAGGACTCTGTGGTCCAGTAGCACTGCTAATTGCTTTTTCCACAAGCAACTCCATAGCCTAGAACAACAATAAGAAAATTCAGCCAATTTAGAAGACTGATTAAAAATAAAAAATAAAAAACTACTACTGTTGTTCAATAAAGAACTTTTGATACTGAAATTTTGAAGGACATTACACATCACAGAACACTTTCAGTTAAAATGGAAAAAATCAGATGTTTGTTAACAATGAATAAAAAGAAAGCTCTGTAAGATTAACATTGAGTACTGATACTGATATGCTGCTTCTCATGACAAGTTGTCCAAAAGTTTTCTTAGAAATTTATACAGTAGTAGCCTACTTGGACAACTCGTCCAGTCATTTTTTGAGAGCATGAAACATAGTGGGTTACCAGAATCTGTCAGTCACATGAATAAACAGCACACAGTACGAAAATGATGAATTTGATTCATCTAATGAAATTAACAGGATGCTACAGAGAAATTATTTTTTTCTATGAGAATACAGAAACTTAAAGTATCAAAATTATAATGATCTTTTAACATTTAAGTGGTTACTAGTTCTTCAGTTTCGCAAAACTGAAGTTCACAGCAAACTTTTCCTTGATGTTAAACAAGTGTAAAAAACCCCTTGATGATAAACAGGTTTTCTAAAAGGTACACATTATTGGATATTATTTAAAATTACTTAAATGATTAGCTGCATTTTAAATTTTTTTTCTGTTAAAATTTCCATTGTTTATTTTATTAGACACTAAAAAAACCCTATAAAATATTTTTGCAAAAGTAAAGAATATCTTTCCTTAGCTTTTTCAGCATTGAATGGATATTTCAATAACACCTCCTTGGCAAGTTTTATTTTCAAACAATGTATCTCTCTTATTTTTTTGTTGGGGTTTTTGGGAGTTTGGTTTTTTGGTTCTTCTCCCAAGTTTACAGTTGCTCAAATGTTGCCTTTTATTTTTATTTTCCAAGAATATTCATCATGACTAGGCTTTGCGAACAAAGATTTGGGAAGTGCTCTACCCACATTTGTTACAAGCGTGCTGGTGGCTAAAAAGGCCAATACGAGATAGACACATCCGATTGCAAAAGGCACAGCAGAAGGACTCCTTAGGTGATATATTCTGCAAGACACGATTCTTTCTGCGTTGTCTTTTCTTCTGAAGAGTGATCCTGTGTGCGTTCTCAAAGGAAGCAGCAGCGTTAAAGATAGTGTGTCTCCAGACCTCCCAATTGGAGGTCAGAGTGACCAGTTATGTTGATCAACATGGCCAAGACCGAGATGTTGTTTCAGAGAGTCCTTGTATCTTCTCTTCGGGGCTCCTCTCTTGCGGCAGCTGGTGGCAAGTTCACCATAAAGCATGATCTTCATCCTTGAGACGTGTCCTGCCCAACACAGCTGTGTTCTCAGCAACATGGCCTCAATACTTGTAATTGCTGCTTGTTCTAGAACAGACGTATTAGTCACATAATCTGACCAGTGGATATTTAGGATTGTACAGAGACAGCGTTGAAGGACAGCGTTGATGGAAGCGTTCTAAATTTCCAAGAATAAATGCCTATTCTGATGCATGCAAGTAACTATAGGCAGTGTTGATTACAATCCTTTACTTAGGGTGCCCATTCCTTTCTATTTTAGCTCAATATAAGTGACAAATTTTAATTCTTGAGCATTGTATTTCGGTACTTACACTGCATCACTCAGGATCAAGCTTTTGAGTTTTAGCAATGGTAATTTAGTTGTTTTCAAGTATGAAGAAAAAGACAGCAGGAAAGAAAAAAAGCAGCTTACATTAATGCATTTATTCAAGTCTAGTTCTTTTGGATCCTCATACAATACACTGAAGTCCTCAACTTAATAATAGGAAAATGTGAATTATCATGCCCTGGTGTTTATATACACAAAAGACTAGATTCCAAGTTTGCAAAATAAATAAAAATAAATCAACCTTGAATATTAGTTCCTTCTAACTTGTAGGAACTTGATAAGATTCTTCTAATTTAGTTTTTATTTCTAGGTATATAAAGAGGCTGATACAAATGTCTGTGTTTAGATTTCCTAATATTTTCTATTATTACAAGTACTTAGGCTCTTTTTGAAAATCTCTGGCCTCTCTTTGGCTTGTAACAGGCTTCTAGCATACAGATCAGGAAAAGTTCTGTGTCCAGAAAAATATATTTTTTTAATCTACAAAATTTCATCTGTAACTGTCATAAATTATATATATTTAAAATCTGTCTTTTTTTTTTTTCTCAGTAAGACTTTGCCAACAGGCCAAAAGAACAACTGAATACACAAACTTCAACATTCATTCATGTCACTGGCAATGCGTCAGGTGCCAAGAGCAAGACAGGAAGCATTTTAGAGAGAACTGAGACACTGCTAGACCTGAAATCTCTCATGAAATCCTCATAGGCAAACTCAAGAAGTGTGGGTTGGATGAGTGGACAGTGGGATGGATTGACAACTGGCTGAGTGGCAGATCCCAGAAGGTTGTGATCAGTGGCACAGAGTCTAGTTGGAGGCCTGTCACTAGTGGTGTCCCCCAAGGTTCTATACTGGGTCCAGTGTTGTTTAACTTGTTCATCAATGACTTGGATGAAGGGGTACATGCCTCCCCAGCAAGTTCGCTGATGATAAAAAACTGAGAGGAGTGGTTGATACCCCAGAGCACTGTTCAGCCCTTCAGAGGGACCTCAATAGGTTGGAGAGATGAGCAGAGAACTGTCTGAAGTTCAACAAAGTCAAATGCAGGGTCCTGCACCTGGGGAGGAATAACCCTGGGAACCAGTATAGGCTGGGGGTTGACCTTCTGGAAAACAGCTCTGCAGAGAAGGACCTGGGGATCCTGGTGGAAAACAAACTGTCCATGAGCCAGCAGTGTGCCCTTGTGGTCAAGAAGGCCAATGGTATCCTGGGCTGCATTAGGAAGACCATTGCCAGCAGGTCGAGGGAGGTGATCCTGCCCCTCTACTCAGCCCTGGTGAGGCCACATCTGAAGTGCTGTGCCCAGTTCGGGGCTCCTCAGTACAAGAGGGACATGGCGCTCCTGGAGCAGGTCCAGCGGAGGGCTATTAAGTTGATCAAGGGTCTGGAGAATCTCTCTTACGAGGAAAGGTTGAGGGAGCTGGGCCTGTTCAGCCGCAAGAAGAGACGACTGAGACGGGACCTCCTCAATGTGTATAAGTACCTAAAGGGTGGGTGTCAAGAGGATGGAGCCAGGCTCTTCTCAGTGATGCCAAGCAATAGAACAAGAGGCAATAGGCAGAAACTGATACACAGGAAGTTCCACCTGAACATGAGAAAGAACTTCTTTACTATGCATGTGACCAAGCACTGGAACAGATTACCCAGAGAGAGTGTGAAGTCTCTCTGACTGGAGATATTCAAGAACTGTCTGGACACAATCCTGTGTAATGTGCTCTGGGATGACCCTGCTTGAGTAGGGAGGTTGGACTGTGATCCCTTTCAACCTTACCCATTCTGTGATTCTGTGACACATTGCTTCATACCTCTCTTTCCTTCTGGCTGTGCCTTAGAACAGATATTATGAGAAATAAGAAACAACATTCCTTGTTCTTCATCTATGTGCCTGATGTGTGTTGGAATATTTTTTAGGATGCTTTTCTAAAAGTATACCAGGGTTTATTCTTTGGCAACTTAGAAAGCGATATTGAGGGCACTTACATACTTCTGAACTTCTGTTAAACTATATTTGTACAGTATATCTTTCATGAAATGTAGCACAGAAATTGGAATTATTTTTTTTACTTTAAATATTTTTAAAAGCAGAAATAACTGCTCCACATTTTTTCCTGTTGGCAAGCTTAGTACAGTTGTAAAACATTTCTCATTGAAATAATGCCAACTACTGTAACTGTCTTGACAATTTTAGCATTCTTCCTGCCAAAACTGAAAAGTCTACATTAGGAAGCAGCACAGTGCAACAGGATTTGGTCTATGAAACAGAGTCAGAGTTGAATTTACCTCCACATATATATGCTTCAGAGATTTTGTTTCAGACTAACTTTGTCTAGTCCACAGATTACACATTTATTAATATTTGGAACACAAGTTGCGCTCCTGAAGATCATCATTTAAGATAGTCAGGGTAAAGTAACGTGCCAAAAACACTCAGCTGCAAGAATTGAGAGAGGTAACTGGGTACAACCTAGAGATCTGTGTCTAGGTGACACTGATTAAAATGCTAATGGTGACACATCCACAGACTAGTACTGTGGTGTTTCATCTTGCAGAAACAATATATTAATGATTGCAGGAATTTCTGTGATTTATTCTTTCAAGTAGCCTTTCTGTTATCACAGAGCTATCGGGGCACAGCTGACATTATTTTCAATCAGTTTCAGTAAAGTCCAAGCTGTTAGAAAAAAATAATTTTTTTATACAGAGTAAAGGAAAAAAATGCTAAAATACAGAATAAGAATGCTACCCTCAAAGAATTCAAAACAACAAGAAAATTCCTTTTGAAAAAAGTTTCCAGCTCCAAATGGCAAAACCACAGAAAAATAATTTTTTAGAGGTAATCTGGATCGTTTGTTGGGGAAAAACAAAAAACCAACCAACCAACCATAAAAAAATCACCCAAGCAAAACTCTACATTACTCCTTAAAAAAACCCTACATTTTAAAACTGTAGTAACATTTTCCCATGCTTAACTTGCAGTGGATTAAAAAAAACCTTTGCATTAAAAAGACTCATTCAGAAGAACATTACTCACCCAGCTTGGAAAATCAGACCAAGTTGGAACCCGTTGACAGAGGTCACGGAGAATACGTATGATAACCACACAGGACTGCAGACCATTAGCTCTAGCCTTGAGAGCAATACAAAATCAAATTAATCCCAGCACCTACAGCAAATAGGACTTGTTGAAAGACTAAAACACCACTGTTCAATGGAAGCTCAGATACAAGACTGAAACAAACCATTCTACAACTTTATTCCATGAGCTGCCATTTACAGCAGTATTTTATACAGGGTTAGTAATTTAAAGTGATAGAAGTCAAAGTGCACAGGTTATATCAATAATTCTTGATCACCTCTACACTTTGACTTATGTTCACTTGCAACAATAAATACAGTATTTTTCTATATTAGAAATAAAAAGAACAAAGGTCTAAGAAATAGGTATAGAGACTGAAAGGTCAAGGGAATCTGTTTGGTTTCTTTATTGTGCCTTTGCCAGAATCCAAAGTCACTAAACCAAACAGTTGCTTCTCGCCTTTCATTCCCTATACTTAAAGAAATAGGAAAAAAAGTCTTAAATCTAACCACATTAAACACATATTCCATTATTTAAAGCAAAGTTACTCTGCAGCCTTATGGAATACATAACAAATATACAACACATGATCACCCCCAAGTGAGTCAAGCTTTCAACATCGCCTTCTCAGTGACCAGGAAAAAAAGTCATATGAGCAATAACTGCATAAAGCAGTTCCTCCATACTCAAGACTGTAAATTTAAATTTAGGGACCAGAAAAATATTAAGTATTATTAGCATGAACAACACTGAGTGTTTTCACACAGTTAAACATTTATATTGCAACTAAACTAATGTCTCATAAGGCTACAAGAAGAAAGTAAAATGATGTTCCGAACCTGGAACCACTTAGCGTGGCGTAGAGCAGCCAGAGTGTCAAGGCATTTTTGCCTGTCCAAGACATCCGGTGGGTCTTTCACCATACCCGAGGTTACATCTAAAATGGATTGAATTGGCAAAATGCAGTGAGGAATGGGTGTTTGACCATTTAAAGTAGCTTCAATGTCACACATGCCATTTAAAGTTTAAACCTTTGAACAACAAATGTAATTGTTCAATAAAAGCTATTCAATTAGTATTAGGGCATCAACCCAATATGAAGATTGTAGAATCATATTAAACTTTAGCTGTCAGGTTATTTTCAAATGCAATATGTAGTACTTCTTTCTTTAAGTTAACACTAGAAAAACACATATCCCCTAAAATTAAATACTGAAGGAAGGATGGTTGGACACAGAGAACACAAGAAAGAAGGAACACTAAAAATCCACTTTAACAAAGTAGAAACATTCACACTTAGTTTCATGTAAATTTTAATGGTCATGTGCTATTTGGGACCTACTCTTTTTAAGAAAAATTAAGTAAATAAAAAAACCCACTTAAAAGCACTAGATATTTTGTAATATTATTTTTATCATACCTTAAAATGGAAATTATTTTGCATTAATAAAAACTGACTAAAGGAATGTGAAATGCTCTTCAGTATTAGAGTTCCATTACTTTTTAATAACCTCTCTTACTCATATAAATTCCTCAGCCCATGATATATTTGCTCCAATATCATTCAGGATGCAAGGAAGGATCTGAAAAGGGACTGCTTTACTTTTGATTCAGCGGGGAAAAGGAAAGCCAAAAAAGAAAAAAACAAAGCAGAAGGTCTGAAAGAAGGGCCAGAAGAAGAACCTGGGGAACTGCAGGCCCGTCAGTCTGACCTTGGTGCCAGAAGCTTATGGAGCAGATCGAGTGCCAACATGTGGCACGTACAGGACAACCAGGGGATCAGGCCCAGTCAGCATGGGTTTATGAAAGGCGGGTCCTGCTTAAATGACCTGATCTTCTATGACCAGGTGACCCACTTAGTGGATGAGGGAAAGGCTGTGAATGTTGTCTACCTAGACGTTAGTAAACCCTTTGACACCGTTTCCCACAGCATTCTCCAGCAGAAACTGGCTGCTCATGGCTTGGACAGGTATACTGTTGGCTGGATAAAAAATTGGCTGAACGGCCTGGCCCAGAGAGTGGTGGAGAATGGAGTTACATCCAGCTGGCAGCTGGTCACAAGTGGTGTTCCCCAGAGCTCAGTATAGGGGCTGGTTCTGTTTATTATCTTGCTCAGTGATCTGGACAAGAGAATCGAGTGTAGCCCCAGTAAGTTTCCAAATGAAACCAAGTTGGGTGGGAGTGTTGATCTGCTGGAAGGTAGGAAGGCTCTACAGAGGATCTGGACAGGCTGGATCAATGGGTTGAGGCCAACGGTATGAGGTTCAATAAGGCAAAGTGACCCTGCACTTGGGTCATAACAACCTTATGCAGTGCTACAGGCTTCGGGCACAGTGGCTGGAAAGGTGCCCAGTGGAAAAGGACCTGGAGTGTTGGCCAACAGCCAGCTGAACATGAGTCAGCAGTGTGCCCAGGTGGCCAAGAAGGCCAATGACATCCTGGTCTGTAATAGAAATAGTGTGACCAGGAGGACTAGGGAAGTGATTGACCCCTCGTACCTCAGTACTGGTAAGGCCGCACCTCAAATCTTGTGTTCAGTTTTGGGCTCCTCAAAACAAGAAAGACATTGAGGTGCTCGAGTGTGTCCCGAGAAGGGCAACAAAGCTGGTGAAGGGTCTAGAGTGCAAGTCTTATGAGGAGCGGCTGAGGGAGCTGGGGTTGTTTAGCCTGGAGAAAAGGAGGCTCAGGGGAGACGTTATTGCTCTCTACAACTACCCAAAAGGAGGTTGTAGCAAGGTGAGTGTTGGTCTCTTCTCCCAAGTAACAAATGTGAGGAAATGGCCTCAAGCAGTGCCAGGGGAGGCTTAGGTTGGACATTAGGAGGAATTTCTTCACAGAAAGGGTTGTCAAGCATTGGAACAGGCTGCCCAGGGAAGCAGTGGAGTCACCATTCCTGGAGGTATTTAAAAGACGTGTAGATGGGGTGCTTAGGGACATGGTTTAGTGATGGACTTGGCAGCATTAGGTTAACAGTTGGAGTCGATGATCTTAGAGGGCTTTTCCAACTAAAATGATTCTATGATTCTATTACTCTAAAATATAGTAGATCTTGTATATTTAAATATTCAGAAAAGGATTAATTACAAAGGAGATAACTTTGTTACCAAAATGGAAAAGACCACAAGGCCCTTTTGGAAGTGGTTTAAATCAATGAAACTGGAAACACTGAACAATATGAAATGGTACCTTCAAGTTACTTTAAAAATTGTAGGGATATAATGCAATAATCAGTTTTTAAAGTTTTTTGTTTTACTAATTATGAAAATGGCAATTGTGACTAGTGACAAAGTATATTGGTAGCATAACTGGTGATATACCAGATAAGACAAAAGAAAAAGCCCTCAATCAATGGCACTCATTTCACAGGAGCTGACTGTATGGAATACAGTTTACTCCAGCAAGATATAAAGTTAGGTAACTCCGAGAACAGAATTTATATATATAGTCTCATGAAACACGCCAGCAAGGAGAAGCTTCTATGGATGCTGCAGAGAGACAGCTCAGAAACCACCTATTTAAATACAAATGCAAAATAAATAGTAGGGTACTTTCATCATCATGGCTAGGCTTCGCGAACGAAGATTTAGGAAGGCTCTATCCACATTTGTTACAAGCACGCAGGTGGCTAATGAGGCCAATACGAGATAGACATATCCAGTTGCAAAAGGCACAGCAGAAAGACTCCTTAGGTGGTATATTCTGCAAGACATGGTTCTTTCTGCATTGTCTTTTCTCCTCGAGAGTGATCCTGTGTGCGTTCTCAAAGGAGACAGCTGCGTTATAGATGGTGTGTCTCCAGGCCTCCCAATCTGAGGCCAGAGTAGACCAGTTATGATGATCAACATGGCCGAGGCTGAGATGTTGTTTCAGGGAGTCCTTGTATCTTTTCTTTGGGGCTCCTCTCTTGTGGCAGCTGGTGGCAAGTTCACCATAAAGCAAGATCTTAGGGAGGCGGTGGTCCTTCATCCTGGAGACGTGCCCTGCCCATCGCAGCTGTGTTCTCAGCAACATGGCCTCAATACTTGTGACTGCTGCTTGTTCTAGAACAGATGTATTGGTCACATAATCTGACCAGTGGATGTTTAGGATTGTACGGAGACAGCGTTGATGGAAGCATTCTAGGAGACGCAGGTGGTGGCGGTAGATGACCCATGATTCGGAACCATATAAGAGAGTAGAAAGCACTATGGCTCTGTAAACACTGATCTTGGTACTTTCTTCAAGTGTTTATTACGCCATACTCTTTTGTGCAGTTTTCTGAAAGCACGATATGCCTTTGCTAACCTGTTGTCTATCTCCCCATCAATCTTACCATCCGAGGAGATGAGGCTACCTAGGTAATTAAACTGTTGGACTGATTTGAGCTGATTGGCCAATGGTGATGTGGGGATGATGGAGGACTTCCTGAGATGCAGGTTGATGGAGAACTTCTGTCTTCTTTAAGCTGACTTCCAGCCCAAAGAGCTCAGCAGTGTCTGCAAAGCAGGATGCTAAACGCTGCAGCGCTGCTTCTGTGTGGGCAACAAGGGTGGCGTCATCAGCATAATGCAGCTCCCGGACAAGATGGTTTAAGGTCTTGGTGTGGGCCTTCAGTCGCCTTAGGTTGAATAGGCTTCCATCAGTATGATATCGAATATAGATACCGTCCTGATCATCGAGGTCTGCCGTGGCCCTTTGGAGCATCATGCTGAAAAAGATTGTGAATAGAGTTGGTGCCAGAACGCAGCCTTGTTTCACACCATTCTTTATTAGAAAGGGCTCAGAAAGTGCATTGCCATATCTGACTTGGCCGTGCTGATCCTCATGGAGTGAGATGATAATTTTAAGGAACTTGTGGGGACAACCTAAACGTTCCAAAATCTGCCATAGACCTTTTCTGCTCACAGTATCGAAAGCCTTGGTGAGGTCGACAAAGGTTACATAGAGACCTTTGTTCTGTTCCCTACACTTCTCTTGCTGTTGTCTGAGAACAAATACCATGTCTGTGGTGCTCCTGTTGGCTCTGAAACCACACTAGTTTTCAGGTAGAATTCCTTCTGTGATAGTGGGTATTAGTCTGTTCAAGAGTATTCTTGCCAGGATTTTGCCAGCAATGGAGAGCAGAGTAATACCACGGTAATTTGAGCAATCTGATCTAATTCCTTTCTTCTTATATAAAGTGATGACTGCATCACGAAGGTCTGATGGTAGTTCGCCTAGTTCCCAACAGCGCACCACAAACTCGTGAAATTTAGCATGGAGTGCATGGCCCCCATGTTTCCAGACTTCAGGTGGAATTCCATCAACCCCAGCTGCCTTGCCAATTTTCACCTGCTGTATGGTCTTGAGGGTTTCTCCTAAAGGGGGGGCAGTATCCAATTCATACTTTACTGGTTATTGTGTGATGGACTGAATTGCTGAGTCTTGGACTACACGGCTAGTACTGAAAAGAGGCTGAAAGTGTTCAGACCATCGATTCAGAATGGAGGTTTTATCTGTCAGAAGCATTTGACCATCAGCGCTGAGTAGAGGGCTTTGGACCTGGTATGTAGGCCCATATGCTGTTTTCAGGGCCTCATAGAATCCTTTTTGATCACCTGTATCTGCACATAATTGAGTTTTTTCAGCTAGATCTATCCACCACTTGTTCTGGATGTCACGGAGTTTCTGTTGGAGTTTGCTGCGTGCAACACAAAAGGTTGCTTTTCTTATGTGACAGGATGGCAGTGCAAGGTGTGCTTGATGGGTGATTCTCTTCTTCCTCAACAATTCCTGGATCTCTTGATTGTTTTCATCAAACCAGTCCTTGTTCTTCTTGAGGGAGAACCCTAAGGATTCTTCAGAGGATTGCAGGATACTGTCTTTAATATGGTGCCAAATTGTTTCAGGAGAGGAATCTGTAGAATCTATGGAAAGGTTTTCGAGCCTAGTTTGAAGGTTTGCCTGGAATTTGTCTCTCACTGTGGCTGATTGGAGATTGTTAACTTGGAGTCTTCTCCTTGGGATACTGCCCCTTTTAGTTTTGAATTTGAGATTGAAGTTGAGTTTGCAGTGCACAATCCGATGGTCTGTTTGACATTCTGCGCTGGGCATCACGCGGGTATGGTAGACATTGCGGACATCTCTCCATCGCACCAAGACATAATCGATGAGGTGCCAATGCTTAGATCTGGGGTGAAACTCCGAGAACAGAATTTATATATGTAGTCTCATGAAACATGCCAGCAAGAAGAAGCTTCTAGGGATGCTGCAGAGAGACAGCTCAGAAACCACCTATTTATATACAAATGCAAAATAAATAGTAGGGTACTTTAGAGAGAACTAAAAAGCCATGAATTAACATGGTGCTATAACTTTGCAAAATAATAATTAAACTTAAATATGAAGTACTCCTTTCAGATTTGGACATTTTTTAATAGGATAGTCCCATTGCTCTGCACAGGGCTAAAAGGGGGAGGATTTCAAAATAAGAACAAAGCTGAGAAGAACATAGGTATCTTCTCACACAGATATTTAAACTTATGGACTATATGTTAAAGTGGAAAGAAGAAGAACTGCACCAACAAGGTATTTACAGAACAAATGAAGACATTTAAAGTGGTATTTCATTTAAAACAAAAAATCAAACCCACACCTCTACAAGAGGGGTGCCAGGTAAGATAACTGATGAAACAAGTAAAACTTGGATATAAAAAGACAAGGAGTATATTTAGAGAAAACCCACAGCAGGTAAATAGAGGCAAAATAAGGTTGAGAAATTAAAAATATGTGTCCGTTGTGTCTAGTAGCCTAATCAGTCCATTTTTTACATTCTTTTAAAACTACTATGCAAATAGATTACACTATGCAAATTTTTATCACAATAACTCCCTATATAATTTGAAACTCCAATTACTTCTAGCTCTGAAAAACTTCAATATGGAAAATAATTTTACTAAAAAGAATTACAGTTTAAGTGCACAGAAGAGAATCTTGCTCAGTGCTGGAAATGTCAGTCTAAAATGTGGTACTAATAGGTATGATATGAATATCCTTGAAACTTAAAAAGACTAATTCAGAAGTTGCAAGACACCTAATTGCACTGAGAATACATTGACTGAAAAAAATGTATCAAGGAAACTCTTGTAATAGTTAATATGTGATTTTTTTGCATCTATTTCACATTTCAGAATTAACCCCTTAAATAGTCTTTAAATTCAGATGCCTAACCTACCACCCTGTTAAGCTAAGACAAAAAAATTGAATTAATTTACAAAACACAAGCATGAATTCTTACCCTATATAACTTAATTTATTACTACCCTAAATATAAAGGGTTAATCTTCAGTTAGACATGCTGTGTCCACCCTACCTCTTCATTAAAAGCTAACAGGCATATCAATTTTGCTAAGTTTTATTATGTGAAATACATTTTACCCAGTCAACTATTTAAAGACTAGTGTGAACACTGCTTAATTCTAGGATAGAGACAAAGACAAAAAGAAAAAACTTAAAGTAACAGCAGATGCTAGGTCTATGCCTCCAAACCCCTTCCTTTGTAAAGCATGGCAGGTGTGACACTGAGCTTTAGAAGACCTTGGTCAAAAATCCTTCCAATGTCTTGGCAGCAATCCCTGACAGAAACAAAGTCCCTCTGCTAGAAGGCTTTGGACCAGGGCTGTTAGCTAAGGATGAAAAAAAGACATGCGCGCACACATATATGTTTTTATAAGTATGTACACTTTGTTTGCTGAAGGAAAGACTCCACAGCGGGGGTTAGAGCCCTTTGTACATATCAGATCCGGTAAACTGTCAAATGCACAATACTGTAAGGAACAGTAGCTATATGGTTAACAATTTTATTTGACACTGGTTTGTTGGGGTTTTTTTAGCCTTTTATCATGTAATAGGATTATTACACATCAAACATGATTCTACTCCACATGCAAGTCTCAGTCTCATCTTTACTCAAACTGGTTCTTCCAGTAAAGCCTTCCTTATCACCTGAACTAGCTCTCCAAACAGGCTAAAAAAAAAAAAAAGAAAGAAAACTTTAAACCATTGTAAGACACAGAGCATGAGGAGCTGCAGCAAGAAAAAAAACAAACACATACTATTACTCTGCAGCAAATAAGCAGCAGTCTTCATAATAAGGCCTTTTTGCTGCAATAATTTTCAATTCAGTCTTCTATTTGTTCTAGTTTCAGAAGTGAATGTTATATACTGCTCAGTGTCTTAGAAGAGAAATCTAACTGGATTTTGCTTACCTAGAGGCAGTACTCCAGAAGTGAATAAACTGACAATGATCATTTTAACTCAAGTATGGGTCAGACAAAAGTACAGATTTGTTTCCTTTAGGTAGCATAAATTACGGGATTGATCACAGTAATTTGAAATTTGTTTTCTTTTTAGTCTACATCATAGAGTTTTAGGCCAGAAAACAGAAATTTAGTATTGTGGCATGATCAATATTGCACTTTTTCACAGTATGTTAATAAACAAACATGGTGTTTAAAGTTAATTTCATTTAATGCTTAATGTAATTTAATAATCAAATATTTTAAAGTATTCTTTATGAAATTAAATAATACATGAAGTCTGATTCAGCATAGACAAATTTAGAGTCATGTTACACTTAGATTTTCAAAAAACAAGTAGAATTGGTTGAGTGTGACAGTACATGTACAAAGACTTTATAGCTAGGAATAATACGTACAGCTCAAAAATCATGTACAAAGCACTCTTTAAGACTCTTCAAGACTCTTCAGAAGTCATCCAAACTAGAGAATATATCTTGATATTTTTCTTTCTGATTATGTAAGATGACTTGGTTGACACAGCTTGCTTACAATGCACTAATGCTACAGAACATTTACTAATGCAATTTAAAAATTTCGAGGACATGTAATGATGAGATGAAATAAAAAAGTCTCTGTGGCTTATATAAATACAAGCACATGTATGTATACACACACAATTTGTTTTCAACCTGCATAGGAGAAATGTTAAGATAGCCTCAGATTTCCTATCCGTAGATTCACTGTCAAACACTAGAACCCTGTTTGTCACAATCTTTTTCAACTATGAAAATGCAGGATTAAAAGGAAACAAAAGTTAATTTTATCTGACCCGTAAACAGAAAGAACCAATGTACTGCAGACATTAATCATGCTTGTTGGTTTAAAAAGCTTTTAGAGCTTTCAAAGCATTACAAAACAGACCTTAAAGCAACATTGCTGGCACCAGAGAAACTGTTAACTTCAGAAACATAATTTTATTTACAAACTCCACTTTCTGCTACAGCTGAAATGACAAAGCTATTTTTTATTTTACAAGTCTGAGTTTGCCAGTTGGATAGAAGACTGATTGCAATATCAGGAGCCTAAATATACTCAAAAATCACTCCAGACCAAAAAGTAACCTCAGAGAGCTGGAAAAAAAATTACATCTTTTAAAGTTATAAGCACTGTTACCATCAAAAGTAGTGTTGCTATTTGGAATGTGTAAATGATGGTAATACTGATCCAGCTAAAATCTGAAAACGTGATTTTTCTAGAACCATACAATCTTTCCTTTAGGGCAAGACTGCACTAGAAAGCCAGTTTATAGCCAGTTGCTATAAAATACTTAACTTTCCATAGAATTGTATAAGAGGGGAAAAAAATCAAGTTTGTATCTTTTCCAGAAAGCTGAGTTTGGAATTTAGGCTAGAATTTTTAAAAATTAAATGCACCATATAAGCATTTTTTATAACTAATTTTTCTCTACTGAGACTGCTTGTTTTGATCAACTACATTAGTTATGCCAGTATGTTGCCCTCTAGGACCTTAATGCTATCTTAAGCAGAATAGATAGAAGTAACATCTTGAACAACTTCCCAACCTCCATCCCTCATGTTCTCCTCCCGAATGACTGGAGATGTCAGTGTGATAGTAACTTGCATTTTGGGTTCCACACATGAATTTAAAATTATTGCGGCTTCTGGGACTGCACACTTGATATCATATTTCTCGGGACTTATTACCTAAATATCAAGAAACAGAAATTTCTATTAGCATGTGGCCAAGTAAGGGGAAGAAAATGTTTTTCAACATAGTCTTTGTGAACAGAAAGACAGAAACACAATATAATTATATGAAGCAGATACCTCTGTATTCAAAGAAACAACATTATACACAATTAAGATATATATGTATATGGACTTGCATACTGTTTCCAAATCATTAATGAAAACACACAGCAGTTGCCAAGCATGCAAAAGAAAAAAGCAAACCTACCCATAAGTGAAATTCAAATACTAAGTAAATTACATAACAGCGTTTGAGATAAAGAAAAGCCTTAGTGCCACTTCAAATGCCAGTTCGATATTTTTCTCATTGGAACATAGGAGCTTTTAAAAAGCACAAAGATGCAGTGGTAGTTCTTCAAGTTCGCAGTTACAGGGTGGGTACTGCAAGTCACATTCTATACTTGGCTATCGCAACATCCTCTGATGAGAACAAAGGGCAAGATTAACACCAGGGGGAAAAAAAGTAAGAGTAACAAGGTAGTTACTCAGAATTGCTTCTTGCAACTAGATTTAATAACTCTAAACACTCCCAAAATAAAGCTGTAGGCACCTCTATCACCTTCCACAAACTAGAGGGACAAGTGAATTCTCCACAAAGCCAGACCAAGATGTGTAGTTTTTAAGTTTTTTTCTGTTGTGTTATTTCAAACAAGAGCAAACCCAAGATTATTTTTCTAATTAATCTGATCCTGCTAATGTCTCTACCATGCCCCTGATTCTGTCAAGCATTTTACCAGACTGCATTGAAATACTGATGCTGTGACAAGCATTCTATAATAATGGTGGACAGGCTTTGTTCAGTAGAGAACACTGAAGCTAAAAACTTTATTCTGTACTTTCATTTCTTATAGAAATACAGTAAATGGTTTATATGAATTTTGCTGAATGGTTGAAGACTGTGTGTATTCTTTTTTTTAGTGCCAAATGAAAAAAAACACACACAAGACATAGTTAAATAATTGTGGGACTACAAAGCATTGACACATACAAACTGGAAACAAGACAAGTATGTACCAGGGTGAATTATGCTGATATTTTTGGTCTGTGTTTGGCCCTGCCACCTGTGAAAGCTTTGCTCTTTCCCTGCCAAGTTATGGGAAAACAAGCACTGATAAACGGGAAAGTTGTCCTTGAAGAGAGCTTCTTGTATAAACTGTTTTAACTGGTGGTCTGTGATTGGCTAATTGTCTGCCAAGGGCATTTGAAGGGAGATTTTGATGAGGAGGGGAGGAAGGCTCACCCCCAGACTCAATTAAGAAAGACCCCCAAAACATACTGCAACTGCGTGAGGGGATTTCCGAAGTTCTCACACATGCGCAGAAGAGATGCACTTACATAATCAGAAGGTGGAACTGAGGGCCTCTGGCTGGGCGGTGCTGGCCACACCTGGGAGGTTGTGGTCACTCAGTTAATTGTATAAAAGTAGATAGTGCTTTCTTGGAGGGGAGCTAACTTCACACCAAGGACAACATTGCCTTTCGGTGGGGACGCCTGCCAGTTTTGTGAACTTACTAACTCTCCAAGGATGCCGCTTCTGCTATGGGTAATTATAGGCATGCTAGGTCGGTAAGATAACTTTATGGGCAACAGCTGGGTAACTGGGGCTTATTTCTCTCCTCCTTCCTCCCTTTTGGGTTTGTTTGTTTTGTTGGCCACCCTCTTGATAATAAATCTTGGTTTTTTGTTAAGCTTTCAATGGTGTCTGAGTTTTCAAGCTTCAGTATATCCTCGAACCTCTCCCTAATACACAAGTACAAACAGACTGGCATTAATGGAGAACTTTGACCTTCAGGCAGTGCAAGCTTCCTGCAACACTGCACAAATTACCTCTATTGCTGCTGGTAACTGGATAATAGCCTTTCTTCTGCTCATTTCTATTTCCCAGTTAAATGAAATCTATTAAATAATGATTGATACTACACCACTCTCATAAGCACCTAGGCACTTGTATGGACACAATATACAAAAAGCCAAACATGCAGCATAGTCCCTGAATTCAGACAGAAATGCTCAGAAATTGAAAAAAACTGAACCTGAGCTATGAAATGCAGCATGGTCAGCCCTACAGATATTTGACTCGAGGACACACTTTTACAGTATCTTTACCAAAATTCAAATCCAAAAATCTAAATATTACTTACTGCAAGTTGTTTGGGAAGATTTTCAGCAATACAACTGAGTAACATCTTTGAAGGCTTCTCAGCACATAACAAAACAAGACTGACGTTTCGGTCTCCACGGAGTAACAAACCTTTAGCCAAAACGCCCACCCGTAAAACTCCTTTCAAAGCTCTGTGAATTACAGTTAAAAGTTGCATTTAAAATAATATAAAAATCATAAAACTAAACCTGCAGATAGAAAAATTAAATAAAATAGAAGTATTCCTTATACTCTTGAGGTCACAGTGACATATGTAATATCAAAACCCAAAAGGAACAGAATTCCTGAAAGCACTGATAACAGTACAAGGAAAAACATAAAATTACTTCAGAAACAAGTCATAAAATTCTTAACAAATAATAAGGAAAAAAATACCTGTCTTTACTGCCATCTTTTTTGTCGTCTCCCTCTTTGCTCTTGCTTTTTTCATGGTCAGTCATATTGTCAGAAACAAGTTTCAAAGCACGCTCAGTAATAGAAACAATTTTTTGGACTGCTTGAAGTTCCTCCTCTGTTGGATATATAGCTGCATGTTTGGTCATCACATAGCGGTCATCAGAGGAGTCAGGGCGGCGAAGAGGCTAAACAGATGAAAAAGCACATTTCTGAAATTTGGGTACACAACAGGTAAAGGAAGTTGATTCTCCCCCTCTACTCTGCTCTCATGAGACCCCACCTGGAGTACTGCGTCCAGTTCTGGGGACCCCAACATAAAAAGGATGTGGACCTGTTGGAGTGAGTCCAGAGGAGGGGCAGGAAGATGATCAGAGGGCTGGAGCACCTCTCCTATGAAGACAGGCTGAAAGAGTTGGGGCTGTTCAGCCTGGTGAAGAAAAGGCTCCAGGGAGACCTTATAGCACCTTCCAGTACCTAAAGGGGTCCTACAAGAAGTCTGGAGATGGACTTTTTACAAGGGCATGTAGTGATAGGACAAGGGCTTTAAACTGAAAATGGGTAGGTTTAGATTAGATATTAGGAATAAATTCTTTACTGTGAAGGTGATGAGGTACTAGAACAGGTTGCCCAGACAAGTTGTGGATGCCCCATCCCTGGAAGTGTTCATGGCCAGGTTGGAGAGGGCTTGGAACAAGCTAGTCTAGTGGAAGGTGTCCCTGCCCATGGCAGGGGGGTTGGAACTAGATAATCTTTAAGGTCCCTTCCAACACAAACTATTCTATGATATACTTCCAAATTCACAGGTGATGTGTGACCAAAAACCAAACATGTGGCTAAACAACAGAATATTCAAACCTCAAATTATTGAGATGTAACAAAACATGAACTGGTGTCCTTAACAACTTACACTGATCACAATCTATCATATCTGAAAAAAACATGAAATGTATCAAAAATAAACAAATTGGGAAATCCCAGGATCAAAAGTACCTCCCCAACATAAATATCTATTGTCATTTGTTAACTGGGAAATACTTGCATACTGCTGCAAAATAAATATCTATGATTGCTTTCATAGAATCATGGAAGAATTCAAATAGGAAGGGACCTCAGGAGGTCCTCTAGTCCAGCCTCCTGTGGAAACCATGGTCAGCTATAAGACTATATCATGTTGCTCAGAGCTTCATCCAGTCGGTTCTTGAAAACCGCCAAAGATGGAAGCTTCAAAACGTCTGTGTGGAGAAAAAAAGAAAAAACATTCCTGTATTCAGTTTGCACCCCTTTTGTCTCTACTTAAGCCGGTTGTATCTCCCGCCCCCTCACAACTGTAAAGAGCCTGGCTCCATTGTCTTTATAATGAACAGGTATTAGAAGTATTAGAAGGTTATTACATCCCACTGAAGCTATCTCTTCTCCAGGCTGAACAGGCCCAGATCCCTCAAGTCTCTCCTCACAGGGCACACACTCCAGACCCCTGATCCCAGTAGCCCCACACTGAACCTGCTACAGTTTATCAGTATCTTTCTTGTACTGGAAAGCCCAAAACTGAATGCAGTACTGCAGTTTGGGTCTAATGAAAGCAGATCGCTTCCCTTTATCTACTGATTATGCTCCTGTTAACATCACCCAGGAGGCTGTTAGCCTTGCTTGCTGCCAGGGCACATGGTTGGCTCATGTTCAGCTTACTATCTGCCAAGAACCCCAGGTACCTTTCAGCAGGGCTGCTACCCAGCCCCTCAGTGCAAGTGATTATGCCTTCCCAAGTGCAGCATTAGGAATTTGTCCTTGCAGAATCCTATAAAGTTCCTGTTGGTCCATTCCTCCAGTCTGCCTAGGTCCTGCTGGATGGTAGCCCTGCCCTCAAAGGTTTAAGCTGTTCTCCCCACCCCAAACCAATTCAGTTTCATGTCAGCTGCAAACCTGATGAGTGAGCACTCACTCCATCACCTTTCAGATCATTGATAAGGTGCTAATGAGACAAATCCCAGTATAAACACATGCGTCACTGCACTTGTTACTGACCTCCAGGTAAAGTAAGGCCCACCACTAACCATTATCCTCTGGGACTGACGATCCAACCACTTTTTATCCATACATTTGTCCACAATTCGATAAATAAAAGTATAATGCAACTAAATAAATTAAGAAGTAGTACACAAATCCAGAGTGACTTGTATTTCAGAAGAAACAATATTTGTCTTCAAGGCATTCTTTCATCATATAAGTGGGCTTATTTCAGAAGACAGGTCCACCTACAGAGTTTAATTAGTATAAAATTTTTTCTTCACTTTTCTCAATCCTTTAAGAAACACTGGAGACAACTGAAGTATCACTGAACAATTTATAGTTCTTAACTGTGCCTCTTGGTAAGTATGATTTCTTTCTTTTTTTTCCCCCCTCAAGTTAAGAAACTCACAGCTGGTCCTTGGGGTTGAGGAGGCATTCCTGGTCTAACTCCCAGCATGCCTAGAGGTCCTGGAGGACCATGAGGATATCCTCCATCTGGTATTCTGCGGCGGTCATCCCACTGATGCTGCTCTTCCTCCATTCTCCTCCAGTAAATGTCCTCTTCATATCGCCTGAAGAGCATCAGTGTTCTCTTTACATAGCAGTTAATACTTGCAACCATTCTAAATAAATTCTTGAATGTTCTCACTAACTCATTTCTAGTAATCAAGAGCAAATACCAATGAGCTCCAGAGGGTACCTAAAATGAATGGTTATTTTGAAAGCAGGCCTGAATTTATAGCAAATAATTCTAGTAAGTCTACATTCCTCAGAGGGATTGAACAAATAACAAAACAAAACAAAAAAACCCACAAAACCCCAGAGGGATAATGACAGCTTAATTTAAAACAAGACAGTACAGAGTTCCCAAAACAAGTAATCAAAATAAGTAACTACAGAAGTAGTTTTAGATAATCTGACTGCAGCTTTGTCTCATTCATTGATAAAACAGAATGCATTACCTCATTTCCATCCTCCAGCGTTCTTCCTCTTCTCGCCTTCTCCAGTATTCTTCTTTCTGCATCTGTTTCCTCATCTTCTCTTCTTGAATTTTTCTTGCTCGAATACTGGGCTTTACTTCTACTTGTAAATCTGGGTTTACTTTTTTCTAGTTCAGAAAAATAACAAGTGAAATGTTGGTTTGCCTCTTGCCATCTCAAGGTTACGAAGTTCTTCTGACACATTTAGCACACACTACTGGTCTACAATAAAATCAGGGGGAGTAAAATGCAGTTTTAGAACTACACTGAATGAACAACTGATGAAAATCTGTGTCCAGTATTACAAAGGAAAGAAATAGCAATGTATTACATATAGCATGAATTCCCTCTTCAGCTATATGAGAACAAAGCTATTTAAGGTTAAAATGTTACATGAAATACTATGTAATTTGCTGTTCATTCTGTAGCAGGATGATTACTCTATAGCCTGAAAAAAAACATGTCATCTTAACTACAATGTGCTTCCTGATGCACTGTTCCTGAAGGGTCCCTCATACAGGAGCATAATCACGAGTCACTGAATACATTTCTCTGGCAATTTTTCCCTCTTCTTTCATCCCTTTCATGATCATGCAGGCCCATTGTATCTCCTGAGACCACAGTAGATTCTTCTTATATAATCTTACAATAACGAAAACGCACACTATGTGTCACTGTAGGTGTCTGTCCATTCACGACTAAAAAGTCTACAATACTTGTTTCTCAAATGTTTCCACAAGGGGTTTATGTGGTTTATCCTGCCAAAAATATCAAGCATTTGAAATTCACGGTAAACAACAAAGCACCTACTATTGCTTGCACATCGTACAATATTTAAACGTTGCAAAGCAATGTTCAGAATGTTTAAAAAACACCCAAACCAAAATGCGGTTTCACAGTCTGCATTACAATGATGCCTCAGAGTTTTTCGGATTTTTTCACTATTGTAGATTTTAGAAGTAGTTGTGTAGTAAATGTAGATTTTAATGTAGCTGTATAATCCCTTACCCTTTAACATAGTAATTACACATACCCAACCCTATTATCCCATTTCATATCAATCCCTCTAAATTCCGTTAGCGTGTTTAGTCTTCCTTTCAAGGTAGAATTGTAGAAAAACACCTCTGTTTAAGAACATCGTACCCTAGGCCTGGACCAGAAGGTATCACACAGACAAAGCAACCTTCAAGCCCAGAACTTTGGAGTAGCTCCAAGGACTGTACGTGCTGTGAAGAAAATGAAGATGAGGAAGAAGGGGTCTCAAATGCCCCCAGACCCAATTCCCGAAGCCGTGTGTCGGGGGGCAGAACCGGGGGTGGATAGATCCGGGATTGGATGGACCTTATTATAAAATCATAGAACCACTGTCTGGGTGGGTGCGTCGTGTGTATTCCCCTGGGCCTGAGGCCTGATTAAAGGACCCGCTCCTTTTATCTTATACACTAAATTGGTCTGGAGTCTTTTTCTCCATAGTCTCTTTAGGCAATAAAAAGGCACCCAAAAGGTGGAAATTGAAATCCAGCACCCTGGAAGCTGTTGGACCTGCAACTTCTTTGGATAGAGCCATTTCATCCTGCGAGACCTTTTCATCTGGCACCACTTATTTGAAGGGTTCCCGCACTGAGCCTGAGAAGCCCCAGCTCCTAACAATCCTGGGCACAGGTGAGATAAAAGAGCAGTTCTTTTAGGGTTAATTTTGCTAGCAACTGTAAATTGGGTTTTTCCTGGAAATTGGGGAATATGGTGGGCTGGGAAGTGAGACTTTGGGGCCCTGTGTTGTTGCAAAAGTCGCTGTTTTCCCAGTCTGTGGGCAAAAAGCATTTCGCCTGGATGGGCAGCTTGACTGGTCCAGGATGGTTAAGGGGGTGCAGGTGGAGGACCCCCCCTCACTGGTGCGGCTTCTGTAAAGGCAGGGCAGGGACAGTACCACTGTGGTTAGTCAGGGGGTTTTGTATTGGCTTGGTACAGCTGGAAGGAAAAGGGACACCTTTTCTGCATCAAATAGCCCACCCTCATTTGAAGTCGGTGGTGGCGTGCAGAGAGAGAGCCTGTTTGGTAATCCTGAGGCCAGGGGTTCACATTGGGTGCTGGGGAGTTTCTTCCTGCCTGGTAGTTGTCATTATGGGTTGTATCGAGTCCTGAGAGGAGGAGATTCCAAAAGGATCTCCTTTAGCCTTGGTTTTGCGGCACTGGAGGCATTTGACAGGTCCTGAAACATCTTTAAAGAGGCAGGAGTTATGCAGGCTGTCTATAAACATGTGGCCGTTGCAGAGGCTGCACGAAGGGGACACTTGGCCCAAGTTTGGCTCTTTTCAAATGAATACAGTGTTACAGCTTATGTCAATCCTCCATAAGGTGGAGAGAAGTAGTGTATGCTGAATTGTTTCTGGTTTTTTTAAACCGTCCGGAATGGAAGAAGGAATATAAGTTAGAGAAAGCCCTGGCAGCAGCGGGAGCCACGGGACTGGCGGAGACAGGGGCTGCCACGGGAGCTACCGCTGTGGGAGCGACAGTGGCGGGAGCTGCTGCTACAGGACAGGTGGGGACAGGAGTGGCAGCTACTGGAGCAGTGGCAGCGGGAGCTGCCTCTATGGGACAAGCAGGGACTGGATGCCCTGTGGACACCACGGCAGGAGCCACAACCGCGGGTCCTGGGGGAAGTAGTGCTGGAGCAGGGGCTGCTGCGGGTCTGGCGGACCAGACAGGGACCGTGGCAGGCGCAGAACACTCCGTAGCTGCGACCGGCACAGACACGGCTCGCCCCGTGTCTGAATGCTGTGCGGCTACAAGCGGTGCCAACTCGGCTGCCCACGATACCTCGGCAGCTACAGGCAAAGTGACTGCCGCTACAGGAGGAGGATCAGAGGTGGCGCCTAAAGGCGCTGTCGCTGCTCCGATCGACACCGGTGCTTCTGGCTACGCCATTAAGGGCAGAGCCAGAGCCACCTCTTCCCCATTCCAACTCCCAGTCCTGTATGGACCTTACCCCCCCCTCAGGGTACACTGGGGGCGGGGTCATTCCAACTGCCCCCCCCCGGTATGCAGGTTTTCCCATTTGGGGGGGAAGGGGCTTTTTCAGCTTTTGCCCCATATCATGAGGGAATGGGTTCCCTGAGGAGAAGCAAGTCACTCCCGGTCTCTTTGACCCTTCGAGCATGAAAACCAAAACTAGAGATAGTGATCTCACTGACCCAGGTACAGAAGCCTCTGATGACGAATCAGACAACATCTCAGAGGAGGAAAGAGCTCCCATAGTAAAACCAAAAACAAAGGGAAAAGTTTCTGCTGCAACTGCGAGGGGAAGGGGGAGAATGGTGCGTGAGGCTTTGTCAGACCCAAGCCCGGTGGCTAGGAGAACGAGAACAAAAGGGACAGGCCATGGGTAATCAAAGATCGATTTTGATAAAAGTCCCTTTTTCTCTGCTTGAGTTACAACAATGGAAGGCCTCAGTTGGGGAATATAGAGAGAACCCAGAGAAGGTGGCTACTTATGTAGAAAGAGCGATAAGACAGGTGTTTTAAATGGAATTGCCAGCATGATAAGGGGAATGACTGGTGTTCTTTCTGCAAAAAGAAAGGGCACTGGAAAAGGGATTGTCCAGATCTGAAGAAAAGTGGAACCCCAGTCCTTCAACTGACTGTGGACCAGGATGGACAGGGTGTCTGAAGAGGACTGGGGGATTCTTCCCCAGCAGAACCTCTGGTTGTAGCTAAGCTGGGGGGAGAAGAAGTTGAATTCTTGGTTGATACAGGCGCATCATATTCTGTGTTAAATACTTTGGGAAGGAAACTGAGTCATGATACTGTAACGGTGGTTGGTGCTACAGGGGTAAGCGAAACAAGGCCTTTCTTTAAACCTTTGAGATTTAAATTGGGAAAGCACTGGGTAACTCATCAATTCCTCTATATGCCAAACTCTCCTAAGCCTTTACTGCATAGGGATCTATTGGAGAAATTAGAAGCCAAAATTAAATTTTGCAAGGGGAGGGAATAAAAGTCATAATTCCTGACACTAAATATATCGAGGCAGCTACCTTTTTCATACAGGAGAACCACGGAGAGATCTCTGCAGAGGTTGAGAATGCTGTCACCCCTATAGCGTGGGCTAGCAATTGTCCTGGGAGGTCCAAGCAAGCAGAACCTGTAAGCATCACACTCAAACCAGAAGCAACAGTGGTAAGACAAAAACAATACCCTTTGAAGATATAAAGCTGTAAAGGATTAGCACCCCTAATTGAAAAGTTTCTTACATTTGGGTTATTGGTAGAATGTGAATCTAAATACAATACCCCCATCCTACTGGTAAAAAAGGTTGATGGCAAGAGCTATTGATTGGTGCGGAATCTAAGGGCAGTCAACAAAATAACAGAGGATATACACCCAGTAGTGGCCAACCCTTATACCTTATTGACCACATTAACAGATGATTTAGGGTGGTTTACTGTGCTTGATATCAAGGATGCCTTCTTCTGCATTCCCGTGCATAAAGAAAGTCAAGAGCTTTTTGCTTTTGAATGGGAAAATCCTGAAACAGGGAGAAGAACTCAACTCACCTGGGCGGTTCTACCCCAGGGCTACAAGAACAGTCCGACTATATTGGGAAACCAACTGGCAAAAGAACTGGAGGACTGGAGAAGGCAGCAGCCAGAAGGAGTTGTCCTGCAGTATGCGGACAATACTAATTGCTGCCAAAAGTCGGGATGAGTGCATCCAGCTCATTGTAAGTCTTTTAAACTTTTTGGGACTAAGTGGGTATAGAGTCTCAAAAGAAAAGGCACAGATTGCAAAGGAAATAGTCATCTATTTGGGGCTTGAGATCTATCGTGGACATCAATGACTCAGCACAGACCGGAAGGAAGCCATCTGTTGTCTTCCAGAGCCCTACACCATATGAGAAATGCAGGCTTTCCTAGGAATGGTAGGATGGTGTCGCCTGTGGATACCTAACTATGGGTTACTAGTCAAACCCCTATATGGAGCACTAAAAGCGGCCAAGGAAGGAGTCATGAGATGGACAGATGAAACCAGGGCCGCATTTAAACAGCTGAAACAATCTTTAATGTCAGGTCCAGCATTGGGACCACCAGACTTAACTAAGCCTTTTGAACTGTTAACATATGAGCAACTGAATGTTGCTCTGGGGGTACTGTCACAGACCCTGGGAAACCAGTGAAGGGCTGTGGCCTACTTCTCCAAACAGCTAGACAGTGTTAGCCAAGGATGGCCCGGGTGTTTGAGAGCTGTAGCAGCAACTCTTATCCTGATCCAGGATGCCTGAAAATTCACCCTTGGGCAGCGCATTGTCATGTACGTACCCCATGCAGTCCAAGTTGTGCTTGAGCAAAAGGGGGGCCACTGGCTGTCCCCTAGCAGAATGCTTAAATATCAAGCTGTGTTGTTGGAACAGGATGATGTTATCCTGAAAACAACATCTACTGTTAATCCTGCTATGTTTCTGTCCTCAACACTGACTGACAGTGTGCCCGAGCATGACTGTTTGCAGACCATTGAGGAGGTCTATTCCAGCAGACCAGACCTGAAGGACGTGCCTCTGGAAAACCCAGATTGGGAACTGTACATGGATGGAAGCAGTTTCATGCGGGATGGCAAGCGAATGACAGGGTATGCAGTGACAACCAAGGATGAGGTAATTGAGGCGAAGGCCTTGCCAGTGGATGTATCATCCCAAAAAGCAGAACTGATTGCACTGACAAGAGCTCTAGAACTGAGCGAAGGAAAGAAGGTAAATATCTGGACTGATTCTAAATATGCATTCAGCATTGTACATGCCCATGGAGACATCTGGAAAGAGAGAGGGCTACTAACCGCCCAAGGCAGTGGGAACAAACATGCAGACCAAATCCATGCACTCCTGCAGAATATTTGGAAGCCTGAGGAAGTGTCTATCACGCATTGCAGAGCTCATCAAAAGGGGAAAACAACTCCCAAACTGGGAAATCATTTTGCCAACCAGGTAGCAAAAGGGGCTGCAGAAAAAGGTATCCTAGCAGTAACACCACAGAAGGAAATCAATCTGACAGGGTTCACCCCAAAATATGATGAGAGAGACCACCAGTTAATTAAGTCCCTTAAAGCTGAAATCAAGGAAAGTGGATGGGCTGTTACACCTACAGGACAGGTTGTGATCACACCCCAACTCCTCAGGGAGATAGCTCTGCAGGAGCATGAGGCTACCCACTAGGGAACAGAAAATCTTTTAAAACATTTGAAGAAGGTAGTAATAGGGACAGGTATGACCAAAGTCCTGCAATCTACTGTAAGTAAATGTGAAATCTGCAGGCAAAATAATCCTGATACAAGCAAGAGAGTGGTGCTAGGGGTAACAAAGGTCAGGGACCTTCCCAGAGATTATTGGCAAATAGATTTTGCTGAGTTACCACCCAGGGAGGGATACAAGTACATACTAGTACTGGTTGACACCTTCAGTGGATGGCCTGAAGCTTACCCCTGTCGCACTAACACAGCAAGGGAAGTGGTAAAAGCTTTGCTCAATCATACAATTCCAAGATTTGGGGTTCCTCTAGGAATGTCATCAGATAGAGGGACACATTTCATTGCAACAGTAGTGAAGAAGGTTTGTCTCGTCCTGGGAATTGTTTGGGACTTGCATACTCCCTACAGACCTCAGGCAAGGGGCAAAGTATGAATGGTACTCTTAAAATGCAAATTGGTAAAATTTGTCAGGAAACATCCATGTCATGGGTTCAGGCTTTGCCTCTAGCTCTGCTGAGGATTCGCATACAACCAAGGCGGAGAGATAACATAAGTCCCTATGAAATATTATATGGGAGACTATATCAAGCTCTGCATATTCCAGGGGACATTCACATGAGGGGGAAAATTGATTTACAAAAGTATTTAATGGCTTTAGGCTCTACTTTACAGAAACTCCAGAGATTCATTGAGTTATCCAGATCCATAGGATTGGACACCCCTGCTCATCAATTCCAGCCTGGAGACTGGGTCTATGTTAAATGGTGGGACAGTGACCCTCTGCGAGCTAAGTGGAGAGGACCATTCCAAGTCCTGCTGACCTCCTTCACTGCAGTCAAAGTTGCTGGCAAAGGACCCTGGTTTCATTACTCCAGAGTTAAGAAAGCTTCTGTTCCTGGAACAACTAGCAAATCAGAGCCTGACACCGATGAAGAGGATGTGGCTTAAACTGTTTCTTCCATACATATTATCTGTACAGTTGGTAACTGTGGATTGGGTTTAGAACCAAAATTTGCATTTGGCTTTTGTAAAATGTATCCAATATTTTATCTTATCTTATACATTAAATTGGCCTGGAGTCTTTTTCTCTGCGGTCTCTTTAGGCAATACAACTTTAAAGACTATACTCCCTAAGAAATATATTTCTCTAGCTTTTTTAATACACTGTTTACTCAGAGCACCTACTTCTGACTAGTCTTTAAATGTAAGAACACGTGTAGCAGGTTGACCCTGGCCGGATGCCAGGTAGTCACTAAAGCCGCTCTCTCACTCCCCTCTGCAACTGGACATAGGAGAGAAAATACAACAAAGGATTCATGAGTTAAGAGCTGGGAGAGGTCACTTACTGATTACCATCATGGGCAAAACAGACTCAAAGTGGGGATTTTAAATTAATTTATTACTAACAGGATCAGAGCAGGAGAGTGAGAAGTAAAACAGTCTTAAAGACACCTTCCCCCCACCCCTCCTTCCTTCCAAGTTCTACCTCCTCCCCCCCAGTGGTGAAGGGAGACAGGGAATGGGGGTTACAGTCAGTTGTTTCTGCTGCTGCTCAGGGAGAGGAGTCCTTTCCCTGCTCCCATGGGGTCCCTCCCACTGGAGACAGACCTTCAGGAACCTCTCCAGTGTGAGTCCATCCCATGGGAGACAGTTCTTCACAAAACTGTTGCCACATGAGTCACTTCTCCATGGGGTGCAGTCCTTCAGAAACAAGATGCTCCAATGTGGGTCCCCCACAAGGCCACAAGTCCTACCAGGGAAATGTGCTCTAGTGTGGGCTCCTCTCTCTACAGGCTGCATGTCCCTGGCAGGACACTGCTCCAGCATGGGCCTCCCATGGGGTCACAGCCTCCTTCAGGCATCCACCCACTCTGGCGTGGGCTCCTCCACGGGCTGCAGGTGGATCTCTGCACCCCAGTGGTCCTCCATGGGCTGCAGGGGGACAGCCTGCTTCACCATGGTCTGCACCATGGGCTGCAGGGGAACCTCGGCTCTGGCACCTGGAGTACCTCCTCCCTATCCTTCTCCACTGACCTTAGTGTCTACATTGCTGTTCACATGTTCTCACTCCTCTCTTCCCTGGCTGCAATGTTCCTCTGCCCAACAACTTTTTTTTCCCTTCTTAAATATGTTATCACAGAAGCATTACTATCACTCCTGATTTGCTTGGCCTTGGCCAGTGGTGGGTCTGTCCTGGAGCCAGCTGACATTGGCTCTGTGGGACATGGGGGGAAGCTTCGAGCAGCTTCTAACAGAAGCCTCCCCTATAGCCCCACCACCACCAAAGCCTGGCCCCAGAAACCCAGTACAACATGTAATCAGTCAGCTGACATCTGGCAGATTTTCATATAAAAGTATTAGCACTTCTACCAACCTTATACTGAAGTCTGTGCCGCCTCCCTTTTAAGTGCATCTCCTTGGCATTAGGATCATTAAAACTGCATTCACAAAGTTTACAGTGAAAGCGGATCACCTTTCCTTCATCATTTCTTACCTGGAAAATTAAAGTTATAACACCTTTACTTTTTTTTAAACAAAAGTTGATGTAAAAATTCATCTAATTCAGTGACACTGGATAATGTCTACCCATCTCAAAACATGCTTAAAAGTACACACAGTAACTGAAAAAAGGCAAAATAGAACTTTCAATTCTGATAGACACACCATTGTGATTGGCAACAAAGTTCTTCCACAGCTTTAAACTTGACCCTGAACATAATGAGTTGAATAATTACAAATGATGAATAATTTACATCAGATTTCATCCACATATCTCATGCCACCAACATGAAGAATGCCCCACTGAGGTCAAAAGAAACATGCACAATACAAAAACATAAACATAAGCTCAAGCCTTTGCAGGTTCAATGCCTTGTCCCTCTTATCTTCAAGGAGAACCCAGGGAATTACAGGCCAGTCAGCCTCACCTCAATCCCCAGGAAGGTGATGGAGCAACTAATTCTGGAAACCATTTCCAGGCACATTAAGGAGAAGAAAATCATCATCGGTAGTCAGCATGGCTTCACCAAAGCAAAGTCATGCTTGATCAACTTCTGCAGTGAAGTGACTGGCCTGGAACATGTGTGGAAAGCAGTTGATATTGTCTATGTGGACTTCAGTAAGGTGTTTGATACAGTCTCACCATAATATCCTCATAGACAAAGTGTTGATGTATGGGCTGGATAAGCATACAGTGAGGTGGATTGAAAGTGGGCTGAATGGCAAGGGCCAGAGGGTAGTAATCAGTAGAATGAAATCTAGTTGGAGGTCAGTATCTAGTAGTGTACCCCAGGGCGCAATGTTGGGTCGAGTTCTGTTTAACATCTTCATTAATGATCTGGATGACTGGGCAGAGTGTACCCTCAGTAAGTTTGCTGACGACACAAAACTGGAAGCAGTGGCTGATATGCCTCAGGGTTGCGCTGCCATCCAGAGAGATAGATCTCAACAGGCTGGGGGACCACCCAGCTGGAAAGCAGCTTGCAGAAAAGGTCATGGGGGGGTCCTGGTGAACACCAAGCTGAACTTGAGCCAACAATGTGCCCTTGTAGCAAAGAAGGT